CCCCCAATAAGGGGGATTGCAATTTACTTTCTCTTTTTAATCTTTATACAAGCCCCATGGTCATAATTGGTTTGTACTTCAGGGTCCATAAGTGAATTCACTCCATGGTTCATTCTGTAGAAAAATTCAGTTTTAAAGTTTGTTGTATTTAGTTTTTTGCTTTTGGCAGAATCTCAGAGCATCATTTTTATACCCAGATATTAGCTCCATCTTTTATTCCTCTCTCTTCTTTCTTTTCCCACCTCAAATGCAGTAATTTCTCTCACCTTAGTGGCTGGAAATGACTTTATCTTAGGGGAAAAAAAGAAGGATCAATAAAACTTTGTGAATCTAACTTTTTTTGTTTTTGTGTTTGCTATAGGGTGCATGCACGCGCCAGACAGACAGAGAGAGACAGAGAGGCAGAAAATGAGAAATCACCCCCCCAGTGGGGATGGTCACACCATAGTCACTTCTCCTCCATTCTCCTCTTGGGATCTTGGGCATGCACGCACATGTGCCCAGTGTGAGTTTAAGCCACTGGGTCTGGGACTCGAACTACAGTCAACTACGTGGGAGTGCAATGACATAGCCATTCTTATGCCAACTACTGGTCCTGTGAATTTAACTTTTGTACTCAAGAAAAAAAAATATTTAGCCAATACTGAAAATCTTTTAAGACTGTCTAAAATATGTTATTCAGATGACTTATTACATACTTTCAGTTCATAGTCAGCTCCCATAACAGGCAAGAATCTACAGGGACTCCCAACCCCATGACTGGATGATTAAGCAACACTGATAGGTACTGATGGACATACTCATTGTTAGAAGATTGATCGTGAGAGGATACCAGTTTTTTCCTTCAAAACATTTTAAAGAATCTATTCCTAGAAGATTCTTAAATAACTCAAAGGATTTTCTTTTTGTTAGATTGTTTTACTATTGCATTTTTGCTGTACTGAGGACCAAATACAGAAGCAGAATAACAATGCAAACGTGTCAGAATGCCTGCAGGAGTCTCTGGGCCTCCTTTCCCAGATCTGTGCTTTCAACAAAGAAGCCTCCTGGAGAGAGGTGAAGAATGGAGGAAAGGAGTTTTTTTAGGTTCCCTGACAGGCTGACCTGTAACTTGTTTTTGGAAAACGTGGAGGTGACAGTGACAGAATTATCATAACAGTAGTAGAGAGAACAGGCTTTGAAAAGGCCGATAACATTACAGTAAAATTATGTAATTCATTTCCATGGATATACCATAGAGACTGAGGCTCCTGAGTCCAGCAGGCATACTACCCACAGGTGTTTTTCAAATCCATTGTAATGGGACCAGCAGTTAGCATAATGGCTATGTCACTGGACTCCCACGTAGTTGACTGCGGTTCGTGTCCTGGACCCGGTGGCTTAAAACTCACGCCGGACACGTGTGCGTGCGTGCCCAAGATCCCGAGAGGAGAATGGAGGAGAGGGGATTGCGGCATGGCCGTCCCCCCCCCACCCCCGGAGGTGATTTCTCGCTTTCTGTCTCTCTGTCTCTCTCTGTCTGTCTGGCGAGCACACGCGCCCTATAGCAAAAACCTCAAATCCATTGTAGTATTGCCCACATTGTTTTTTTTTTCCCACACATTTGCCTCACCTTTGTGTCTTTGCTTGCTCTCTCCTCTTTCTTCTCTGATGATAACCCCAGATGACTGTTTACAGACCTTACCTGTGGAATAAGCAATATTGAAAAGCATAGCTCGGTCCAGCTGATGGCATGGTCCTTGAAATTGCTGGGTCCCTCATAGATGACTGCATCCCACATGGCCAACTGCATGGTTCGAGTCCCAGACTGAGTGGCTTTGTAGACATGCCAGGCACATGGGCATGTGTGCCCAGAATCCTGACAGGAGAATGGAATAAGAGGGAATAGTGGTGAATCCATCTCCCTTGGGGGGGGTGTTTTCTCACTTTCCCTCTTTCTCTTTCCCCAGCAAGCATATATACCCTCTAGAAAAATACATAAAAAAAGAAAAAAAGAAAAGAAAGAAAATAGACCTTTTCATTGGTTAGAAGTTTGCTGAGAAGATTCTGGAAGAAAACCAATCATTGCAACTAGCGGATACATTTATAAGTAACTCACAGACTGGCCAAATAATAAAACCTTAGAGAGGACCTGTACAAGAAGAGGAAGAACTCGTATACCTAAATTAGAGCCAAGAGAACTCCTCTTAGTGAGTGTAATGATTGCTTTGTGGATTCCAGAAATATCAGCTCAACACCTCTCAACTACCAACCACCAAGTTGGCACTAACGGAGTCATTGGTACAAAATAGGCCAAGTCAGAAAGCAGGCGCCAGAAACCAGGATTCCCAGACTGACCCCCTGGCCTAGTGGTTAACAGAGCCAGATCCCACGTGGCAGACTGTGTTAAAATCCTGGCCCCAATGGCTTGAAAAGCATGCCAGGTGCACGTGTGTGCATGCCCCAAATCCTGAGAGGATGGAGAAGTGGAGAAGGGATTGCAGGTGAATGCTCTTCACTGGGAGGTGCTTTCTCTTCCAACTCTCTTCCTCTCTGTCTCTCTGTGTTTTCCTTTCCCTCTTTCTTTCTCTCTCTAGTGAGTACACACACTCTCTGGCAATTTCAAAAAAGAAAAGAAAGAAACCAGGATTTCTAAAACTGCTAGAAAAGAGTCTCTGATTATTGGCTTTCACTTTGTTAGAACTTTGCATTTTTCTCCCAGTTCTCTGACACCAGCTAAAAGAGCCCTAACTCAGACCTGCAACTGAGACATCAGACCACCCCCAAGGGAACTGGGAATTTCATCTGGTTGAGCAGAATCTGCTTTTCTTCATTGAGCAAAGACACAGGTGGGAGACTGCCCAGTGTCTTGTGGGTTTGCCTGCCCCATGCCCCTTGGTTGGGCAATTTGGATCAAAGGTATCTAGTCCTCTCTTTGTAACTTGAAAGCCATTTGAACCTCTTTTTCTTCAAAGGGATTACCTAGTTGCTTTTTCAAAGGTGATTATAGCTATTAGCATTTTCTCTTAATAGTTTCTCTTTCTTTGAAAGAATTTAGCTTAAATACCTCTACTTAAGCCATGTTTGAAATGAACTAGAATTACCAGGAGTAAGATTTGACTTAATCAGGAGTCTTTTTTTTTTTCTCATCAAAAAAAAAAAAAAAAAAAAAGGGCAGTCTGATGTTTGATAAATTTAGTGTGATCTTACAGTGGAAGAGCCACAACTTGGAACAGTTTTGTGCTTCAGTATTCCAAAGCAGAGTTTGCTTGGGTGTTCTTTGAGATTTCATTTTGTAGCACTCAAAACACTGCTAGTTGGCTGATGACTTTACCAAATCCATCTGAGTAACCAGAGTAACATTACTGGGAAACCAACTTCTTTCTAGTTTCACGATTGTAGCTATATGCATATCTATAAAACTATAATGATTCCGATGATGACTGTGAAACCTACTGGTTCTTTCCCTGCAGTATATTTGGGATCAAACCTTTGGGCTAGACAAACATAAGTTACTTAAAATGCAGATTTTATCTTCTTGCCTCCCCAAATTCTCTGCTAACTTATCTTTGTGAAACAGTCGGAAGATAAAGCCAGACTCTGTTCCCACACTTGCCTGGGATAATGGGTGGTGATCTGGTCTCTTATCTCGTCTCTCCCTGCCCTCTTCTGCTAACAGACTCTTCTTTATAGACCCAGGTTGGGGGAGTTAAAGAAGTCAGTGGAAGGCACAAACCTTTGCTGTTAACCCCTGCGTAGATTAGAATAGTCTTTGGCTTTAATCACAGAAATGTACAGCAACATGTTCTGGACTCCACCGGGACTATTCGTGAAGCTTTCCTTAAAATGGTGCCCTAGATAAATCACTTTTATTGTGATGCTGGCGTTTCCTTTTCTCCATGGTAGGTGCTCTCTAAGCATTTGTCAGTTCATTAAAATTTCTGTAGGTGATTTTCAAATCAAAAGTAATGAAACAACCCTCCAATGTAAAGTGTGATAGGATCTTTCTTCAAAAAAAGTGTTATTTCCTTTTTTTTTCCCACGAGAGTGACAGAAAGATTGAGAGAAGCTGCTCCAATCGGGTCACATAACACCATCTCCCTTGCAGCCTTCTCAGCCAGCCAGGCTTGTGGGCTCCTACACCCGCATGAACTGTTCAGCCAGGGAACTGAACCTCGGATCTTCCACAAGGGTCCAGCACCACTTGAGCAGCATTTCATTGCTGTGCCACCTGGCTGGCTCTCCCTTTTAAAAATTAATTAATTTTTTTAATTGCCAGAGGGCACGCATATGAATGAGAAAGAGAGAGTGAGGGTCCAGCAAATGGCGTAATGGTTACATTGTTGAACTTCGTGTATTAAGTCCTGGATCTGGCAGCTTAAAACTCACGCTGGGTGCGTGCGCGCGCGCGCGTGTGTGTGTGTGTGTGTGTGTGTGTGTGTGTGTGTGTGTGTGTACGTCCAAAATCCTGAGAGGAGACCAGAGGAGAAGGGACTGCGGTATGGCTATCCCCCTGGGGAGGTGCTTTCTCACTTTCTATCTCTCTGGAGAGTACATACACCGTGTAGCAATAATCTCTCTCTTAAAAAGAGAGACAGAGAAAGAGAGAGAGAGAGAGCAAGAGAAAGTACCCCCACATGGGGTATAGTAGTACTGCATTTTTTTCTCCTTCATTTCTCTGTCCTGTTGGGATTTGGGACATGCATGCAAATACGCTCAGTGTGTTTTTCAGACTGCCAAGGCCAGCATTTGATCCAAACCACATTGGGCATGTAAGATCCAGCTACCTTAGCCACTAGTCTTGGGGATGTCTTTATTTTTAAATTTTATTTCCTCCTGAGAGTGACAGAGAGAGATTTTTCTTCTTCCAAAATTATTTACCTGAGTCAGCTGCCAGGGTGGTTAAGGTGACTGGATCCCACATGCGACTGTGTGGTTGCAATCCCAGACCTGATGACTTGAGAAACCATTCTGGGTGCTTGCATATGCATGTCCTAAATCCCAAGAGAATGGAGAAAGGACTATGGAATGGCCATCCCCCCTCCCGCCACACACACACCCCAGGGGTTATTTCTCATTTCCCCCCTCTTTGTCTCTCTTTCTCTGTGTCTGTCCAGGATGAATACACATGCTCTATAGCAAAAAAAAAAAAAAAAATTTTTTTCCTCCCTTCTCCTGCTTCAGTGATACTGCAGGAGGATCAGAAACCAGGTTCTTTTAAACAGATCTCTCCTCCTCAGATGGAATCCAAACCCTCCCCCTCTCCACACACACACACACATAATTGCTCCTGAAGGTTATTTCTGTGCAGGGTGTGTGGGGTACAGATGTCTGGTACCAGCGGCAGTGGTGCCAATGGGAAAGGAAGTGGGGGGCAGAGTGGGAGTGGGGAGAGTAAGGAAGCAAAGGAAGAGAGGAAGAGTGAGTTTAAGACAGAAAAATGGAATCATAAAAAACAAAACAGAACAAAACCAAAAAAACAGAAAAGCTAAGTGAACATGCAGCGCTCCCAGCTGGTTTGTTTGCCAGTCCTGTTGCAAGTTCTGATTTTTCATCCTGGAGTCTGAGCAGGAGATTTTGGGTGATTGTCAGAGCTTTAATGAGTTTCAAAGCACTGCTTGGAAGGGGTCTTTAAAAAAGCTATTTCATTGCACGGCTTAGCCTAACAACCATTGGACAACTTTTTAGTTGTGTCATCTTGATCCATGGGTGCGAGTAACTTCACGGTCTCCCAGCTCTACCCCATACTGTGCTTCTCCTTTCCTGAGCTTTCCTCTAGTGTCTGAACAGTCATGCACTTTGCAGGTGGAGACGTGTTAGAGTGAAGGAGAAAACCCAATAGCGAAACTACACATAAAGACTGCCGATTGAGAAAGTATGAGGGTTTTGTCCAAGAGTGGAGCTGGTTCCTGGCTGAGCCCCATAGCCTAAAAGTCTTCTGTTTGGGAGGTATAGCCATAACATTTACATTGAAGTTCAAAGGATGAACCGAGACCTTAGTTCTGTGACCAGGGAAGATTGAGGAAAGGTAACCGATGAGTGCATAACACTCACAGCTCCCTAATTACCTGCCAGTTGTGGTTATCTCAAAGATCAAAAGTAAGCACAGCAGAAAGGCCGTAATAGACCCCAAGCAGCTTTAGTTGCACCATGCTTTTCTTTCCTCTTCCAAGTTGTCTTCCTCATCCAAGAACAAAGCGATCCCACGTGGTCAGAGTCCGGTTTGCATCGCCATCCTTCCAGGGTTGTCTTCCCAGCCAACATCCAGGGTATCTTACTTGCCAGGCATACATGATGCTATTTCTGTCTCTTCAGATCACCATAACTGTATACGAGGGAGGGGGACTATATTTTAAGACTTTCATGAAATGAAAACGTTCAGCTGAAGAAATCAGCTGGATCACGTCGCAGAGGGTGACACAGACAACCAGCCAGAAGGAATCAGCCTTCCACTTTTCTCCACTTGGCCACTTGGAAGCCAGAGCACCGACTCCGAGCCACTCACTTGTGTTGTGGCTGCCTTAGTCCTGAAAAGTGAAGCCTCTCCTTTTCCTGGTTGACCCACCCACGAGATTTGGTGGACATGTGTTTTGGCTCCACCTGTTCTTAGCTCTTGCTGGATTTTACAGCGAGGCCTGGCGTACAGTGTTCCCAGTTAAGCAAGGGAACCCCCACCTGACTTTCTTTTGTCTTGAGGCTCATATCCAGAGGTTATGATTTGCAGCTGCTGGCCTTGCCTTTTGGATGCTAAATTATGTGTTTTCTGCTGCCTTTTTGTTCCTTTTTTTTTTTTTTTTTAAATCCTTCCTCATTTCTGCAATTTTCTAACTTGGAGCTGTTTTGTTCTCCCTTCTTTGCAGACTTCGGTTTGAGCAACTGTGCAGGAATCCTGGGGTACTCGGACCCCTTCAGCACGCAGTGTGGCAGTCCTGCCTACGCTGCACCTGAACTGCTCGCCAGGAAGAAATACGGTCCCAAAATTGATGTCTGGTCCATGTGAGTTATTGAGCTGGTAAAAGTCACAGCTGCCTTCCACAGTCTCCACTGTGCCTTTCTCATGAGATAATGCTCGGGTATTTGAGGGAGTGTATTACATACAGGTTCTGGGGTATACAATCAGCCATTCTTTGGGGCTCAGCTTTCCATTTCTGTTCTTTCTAGTCTTTTCTACACAAACCGTCAGAGTGGCCTTTGCCAAAATATAAGAGGTGCTGGGAATAAGAAAACGAAGTCCTGCCCTCACAGGGCTCACAGTTTGGCTCCGTAAATCCTCCTGTCCCCTCCCTACTGAAAGCCCTGCCAGAGCCCTCATCACCATCCACATAAGACTCCGTCTTGGTGCATGGCCCACGCTCCTTGCAGGGATCACTTCTGCCCACCTCCTCTGCCTGTTTGCGCACTGCCCTGCCCTCTGCTCTCCGTTCTTCATATAGCCTCCCTTTAGTCCAACCCCTGGGCTTTGTACTTGCTATTTCCTGCACCCGGGATGCCATTTCCTAGCTCTTCCAATGGCCCGCCCACTCCCACATTCCAGTTTTAACCCAGTGGTAACACTGCAGGGACTGCCTCTGGTCCCTGCCAAGGTTTGCCCATCCTGTCTCCTCACCCTTCAGTTATCTCTTTAGCACCTACCACAGTGTGTCATTTTCCCGTTTGTCACTCTGTTCCTGTGTGTCTCTAGCAGGGAAGGATGCCGCGTGAGGGTAGGGCCTGTTGGTCTGGTTCTCCATTTTATTCTCAGTATTTAGCAAGCGAAGGCCCCTAGGGGAAAAAGCAATAAATATTTGAAAAACTGAATCACTGGTTACTTTAGAGGCACCAGGCCCTGGCTATGGAGCCCAGGTCCTTCATGGCCTGATGATGAGCCCATCACCAGCCATCATATGGGATGGAATCCCTTAGAGTTCTGGACCCTAAGATAGGACTAAATTCCTTGCCATGGAAAAATGGGCCCTAGGCAGAGAGTGGGATCCTGATTCAGATACAGCTGTGGGAGATGAGAGGAACTGAGGGGTGTGTGGATCTGAGCGGTCTCTGGAAGTCCTGCCATTCTCTGTCTTTGCTCACTTCCCAGGTCAGCAGAAAATCAGAAGTTTGCTGAATGCTTGGGGTGCACCAGACACAATGTCATTTAATTGTCACCATAACCCAGTGAAATCGTTACTATCTGTTATGCCATTTTATGGGAAAGGAAACCGATCATAAGATAAATTAATAAAATTGCTCAAGGTCACAGAGCTGCTAAATGGTGGGGCTGAGATTTGAACCAGGCAGTGTGTTAGGCCCTTGCTTGACCCTGTGGCCTCATCTAAGCCATTCTCCTCACCTCCCTCCCCATCACTCTCTCACGGTTCCTGGTAGGTTCTGCCTGTCTCGTACACAGAGTTCCTTCAGCCTGGACTTCCTTCCCCCTGCCCCAGCCCCGCCCCTGGTCTTGGCCCTTTCCCTCTTGTTTTGTTGGGTACTGCTTCACCAGGCAGCCCTCCTGCCATCAGCTGTCTGGCTTCAAGCCTTCTATGTCCCCTCCAGCCCTCTGCTCTCTGTTCCAGGTCCTCACTATGTAGTCATTGTCCGTTTACCGAAACACCCTGGGCTGGACCCAAGGGCAGGAATTGCTTTGCTTGTTCCCAGGGATCCCTCAGCACCTGGCATGGAGCCTGGGCTAGCGAGGAAAGAAGGAAGAAAAGGAGGTGGGGGGAGGCGATGGCAGGGAAGGGAGGGAAGAATAGAAGGGACAGACTTTCCATTTCATAGCTAAATGACAAGCTATGAAAGGGGGAATCTGTGTGCAAACACACCAAAAATAAGAGCCTCCATGGGTGTCACCGGCTGAAGTGACAGGGAGGTGGGAGACGTAATGACCAAAGGGTAGAGAAGTCAGTGGGTGAGAGCCGGCGACAGTTTGCTCATGAGGCCTTGCTCTTGAGGGCACTGGACATGATCCTGTTGGCCCCAGTTATCGGAGTACTGAGGCTGCACCTGGGGAACGGGCCCCTTTCAGCCACTTCTGGCAAAGCAGGCATCTCCTCCAAGCCTAGAGTGTTAGTGGGGGGGATGAAGCCACGTGGGTCACGGGAACAGTTGGACTGCTCCCATGATGAGGCTCACTATGACTGACACCGTGTTCTTCACAACTGGTGTGGGACTTCTGTCCCTCCAGCTAACTGTGGCATGGGAGCAAATCAGTTTTCCTGTCAGGAAGTAAAAAGGGAACTGAAAAGCACAGGCTGCAGAAAAACCACGTTGAAGCTCAGACTTCATTCTTTCCCCTCCGCCAAGGTGATTGACCAGGAAAAAGAATCGACATTTCTGCAGATGCTCCATTTCTCAGTCCTCGGCCCGTAGTGAAAATCAACGGCCCTGCTCCCAGCGGAGGCTCTTTCTGACCCTCGGCCTGTTGCCACTTTCTCTATATATGCGTGAACCAGAAGCTGCCACACCATCTGGAAGTGTTGGTGCGATCGGAGAGGGGAGGACAGTGGAGGAGATGGCCCCTGTTCTCCTCCAGCCTGGCTTCTGGCATGGCTGGGCTGCCCCTGGGGCAGCTGGGCATTTCTTGGTTGACCTCCACTTAAGGGCATTTCTTTCCCCAAGAAAATCAAGTATATTATATATAATCTCAGAAGGTGGTCTGAGAAGCTCTGATGATGCCTCGTTGTTAGTCCTGGTGAAATAAAGGACCGTATGTGAAAGCCCATGTGGGTGGAATGCACCATGTGAACAGTGCTCTTTTAGCTAACTGTGGCATAGCCCTGAGTTTACTGAGAGGGAGAACCAAAGAAAAGCACAATGTGTGTGGAATTTTGTGCATGTGATGGTGGAAGAATGTTCTGGAGTCAGAGAGGGCAGATCCCAGTGCACAGGTACTTCTCCAGGTGCCTCTGGATCATGTTTATAATGTCCTAAGTCAGGAGGGAGATAGACCCACCACCTACATGGGGACAGTGGCAAAGAACTGTGGTTTTGTAAACATTTTTATTTTTTTGTAACCTAACACACTTACCTACCTACTGCTATGGGCTGAATTTTGCCTTCCCACCTCATTAATATATTGAAATCCTCATTTTCAGCCTGATGGTACTGGAAGCTAAGGCCTTTGGGAGGTACTTAGGTTTAGGTGAGGTCCTGAGGGAGGGGCCACACGATGGGATCAATGCCCTTATCAGAAATGACAGTGGAGAGCTTGTTCTTTCCCTCTGCCATATGAGGCCACAGCAAGAAGGCAGCCTCACCAGACCCTGACCACGCCAACACCCTGATCTTGGACTTCCAGCCTCCAGGACTGTGAGAAAATAAGTGTCCATTGTTTGAGCCACCCAGGTGTGGCATTTTGTTACAACAGCCCAAGTGATTGAGATATCTCTTACCACCAAGCCTTACCTATAAACAAGTTCAGCATGTCAGGTGGAGCAGAAGAGGCAGCTACTTACTTCAGGGCTGGGTTAAGCTAAGCAGGCTTCAGAGGATGCGCGGTGTTTGTAAACGAGTGAGGGAGGTGAAGAACAGTGTAGTGTGCCGAGCAAAGAACCTCGGTAACGAAATAGTATGCACTTCCCAAAACACCCTGTACTGCAAATTTTGAATGCGTACCATAGGATGTAATGATAAATGAAGGACCAACAGATGGTGTAATGGTTACGTTGCTGGACTCCCATGTAGTTGACTGCGGTTCAAGTCCTGGACCCAGCAGCTTAAAACTCACACTGGTCACCTGTGTGTGCGTGCCCAAAATACTGAGAGGAGAATGGAGGAGAAGGGGTTGTAGTGTGGCCATCCCCTCGGGGTGATTTCTCACTTTCTGTCTCTCTATCTCTCTCTGTCTCTCCAGCAAATGCATGCACCCAGTAGCAAAAATCTCTCTCTCTAAAAAACAAACAAACAAAAAGAATGTATGATAAATGTTGCAGGTGGTGAGTATGTGCGTATCCTTGACTTGATTATTATACATTATATATGTGCTTCGAAAAACCTACTGTAGTTCACAAAAAATGTACAGTGATCGTAAGTAAATCAGAAATAATAAAATATCACCAACAAATGTAGAAGGCAGCAGAGGCGAGTTTAGTCTGTTCCTGAGGGATGACATGCAGTTGGCTGGGTGGAGACGAGGTGAGGGTTCTGCTCAGGGAGAGGGTACAGCCTACACAAAGACCAGCAGATGCCAAATATCTAATTACTATTGCTCTTAATCTTGGCAAAAACTTAAAACTTTAGAACCTACTTTAAGAGATTAATTTTCCACCGCTTTGGGGTATTGTGTCTGAGATCAGGTTAGGTTTCTGTTTGTTGCCTTCGACTTTGCTGGTAGAATTGGAAATGGAAAATTTAAGGAGAATTTAATTTAAAAGGCTGTTTAAAAAGAGAGTGAAAATGTAACCAATTTTCTTCCTAAGTCAGACACTGTTATTATAAAATGTCTTCTCTTTTTATTGCTCTGAAACAACAACAGAACCAAACTCCCCTCCCCAAAGCTTTTGGACCCTGACTGATGATAGAGAGGTTCTCTAAGATTTCTGAGACCAGTTGAGGAGGGAATGGGCTTGTCATTCAAGGATACCCTGGGAGAGAAAGATCTGCCCCCATGAACAGGGCTCCCCGGACCTCCTTCTCGAGTGAAGCAGCAATTCACAATGGAAATGAGAAATGGTACTGTCTCTTTGGGGATTTTTTTCATTAGTTTTAAGACCATTAAAAAAATCCTTAAAATTATCCACTTCTTGGGACCAGCAGATGGTATAATGGTTACGTTGCTGGACTCCCACATTGTTGACTGCAGTTGAGTCCTGGACCCAGTGACTTAAGACTCACATCAAGTGTGTGTGCGTGTATACCCAGAATCCTGAGAGAAGAATGGAGGAAAAGGGATTGTGGCATGACCATCCCCCATGGGAGGTGATTTCTCATTTTTTGTTTCTCTGGCATGTGCCCTATAGCAAACATTTTTCAAAAAAAAAAAAAATTATCCCCTTGTTTCTTTTACTCTAGATGACTTGAAA